AAAGAAATAAGTAGAAAGTAAGTTGAGCTGCTTAAATTTGTTCTATGTAGAGATGTAAAGAAAAAATTAAAATTTTTGTAAACACAAAACCCACCAACACACATAGACACAGCATAAAAATGTTATGCAAAACATCTGTATCTATATGTATATAATATTAATGTGTATGTGTGTATGTATATTTATGTAAATTATTTAGTGTCAACAAATGTTATTAATTAAAATGTCATTCAAAATTTCACAAAATTTATCTCAAACAGCATTGTCATTTGTGGCTCAACGAAATTGAAAATCTTCAGCATACATACATACATACATATATGGAAATGTATTTTAAGATTATAACATTACCCTTTCAGTAACTGGCTGAGCAGCTCTGACATACATACATTCATGCATACTTACGCACGTATGTACATACGTATATATATATTTATGAATGTATGTAAATAATTTGCCGTAGAGATCAACTGACAGCTGTGCAGACACGGCAACACTTGTGGCATTGCTTCAACAGCAGCCAAATCAGCCCACCCACTCATACAAAGGGAATTCACTACAATCACTGACGCTACACTTGCATACTTTGTGTATGAATATATATGTATGTATGTTTGTATGTTTGTATGTACGGTTGCGAATGTACTTGTGTGGTTGTTACCGAAAAAGTAGTTTAATTTTAGGGTCGCTTTCGCAAAGCACAAAGTTCACCCCCCGTGCATGTCAAGCAGTCACTCATTCATTCAGTGTTCTTGCGGCCTCACTGTCACTTTACGTTTACGTGTTGTTGTAGTTGATTGTTACAAACTAAATGCTCGGTTTTTCCTCGCTTTGCATTTTATTATTTACTTGCCACACTCTGTCAGATTTTTCACCCTCTTTGCTTGGTCGCACTCTCGGAGGGTGTATGCAAGTGAAAAGGCCTCGTCTCATTGTGTGCGCTTTCCCAAAACAACATTTCACGTTTGGGGGGGGGGGAGATTTTTTGCTATTTTTGCTTTGTGTGACAGCTTTCGAAGTGTCAACTTGGTGATGTATGCACATACAGACAGACATACTGGCATTCATATGCTTTTTCTGCTACTTAAACGTTGTATATCCTAGCATTTTCTCTTCTAGTTTGTTTTTTTCCTTGCTTCCCTCTCAACACTGCTTATTTGCTATTGTTGTTTGCTTATAACAGCTGCTACCGTTTTGACAGCTTGGCCAGTGTTGCAGTGTTGTCCATCGCTGTCATTGCTACTTTACATTGGCCATCCTTTACCATTCATTCTTGAACTACTACAGATATTTGCATAAATTGTGCGCAGCAGCAGCAAGCAAACACAGTGGAGAAGCGAAAAAAGTGCAGGTCAAGCCAATTTTTTGGTGGGAGAAAATTTCTTCTTTGGTCTGTAGTAAAAAAGATTAATAAATGGCTGAAATGTTTTGAAGCAATCACTCAAAATTTAATGCCATAAATTGATATCTCCGCCATATTTTATAAATAAATGAGTACTAGTAATAAAATTAAAATAAAATAAAAATAAAATTAATAATTTTCTCTTCCGACAATTACTCTGTCTTTTCACTGATCCCATCATTGTCAGCTGTCAGGCATAAGTAGCGCTCACACTCACTGTCCGTTTCACTCGTTACTACTCGTTGGGGAATATGATTAGCCACTTGAAGATTAACAACGTTATAATTACCATTTAAATTTATTTATTATAACAATTTTTTCCCTTTTTTTCATTACAATGTATTTTCATTAAATACAAATTTAAAATGTAACTGTCACATTACCTAGAACTGTCATTCATCTGATGGTGGTCGAATCACTAAAACCTGTTTAGTTAGCAGGCATGCACATGACAGTTAAACCACAAGTTGTAATTAATACTTGTAATCAATTTTAATTTTTTTATACAGCGTTTTTCTTTATTTTAATTTTTTTTTTCAAACTTTTATTTTTTATTTCATGCATAAATAACTGTTTTACGACACTTTGCTTTACTACACACTAAAATGTTGCATAGTGTAAAAAAAAATAAATTTGTTGTGCTTACTTTTCTAAACCACAAGTGTCAGATTTCACAACATTTACTAGTAACGAAATATATATTTACATATGCACAACGAAACGTGTTTCTTATGGTTGCAAGTATTTAGTAATATCTGTTATAATATTTAATGCATGCATGTTATGTGTAGCATAAATAAAAACAAAAATAATAAAAATAAAGAAATCGTCAGTGTAGTTCATTGGCAATTTGTTGAAGAAAAACTACTAGTAAAATTATTTTGAAAAATATTTGAAGTCCGTTCAACAATTTTCAGAACTCAAAAATTACACTTAATACCACTTAAAGCCTATTCAAATCATTTTTTTTTTATTCATTAACAAAAATCGCTATATACCTTTATTTAAATCTTTATTGGAAGTCAAGCATTCTGCGAAGCGAAATATCATAAATTAACTATTCTGTCGAGGAAATAAATTTTAATTTGGTACTAAAATTTACCATTCAGTAAATTTTGTTACTATTTCGTATTCTGAGTTCACTGTCATCCCGTAAATTTTGTTACCAGCGAAATAGAAGGTAACAAAAAATGTGCTATTCGATTTTGTGTTGTTAGTTTGAGAAAAATGGTTAGTTTGAGAAAAAATGGGTAGGCATATTTCAGGCCTGGAATTGAAAATTAAGAAAAAAGTACAAGAAGGCGTATATTAAGAGGTTTGCGAGAAAAAAATTATCCTTTTAATTTGGAAGTTAGCGTTTTCATTCAGCTTTTTTGTGTGTCTTGCTGGTATATTTTCCAAATTAAGTTCCATTATTTATGAATTAATAAACAAATATACAAAACTAATTTATTTTTTTGCGCTCCGCTCTCCATTTCGATGTGTATATATTTTTTTCTTACTTTCCAACCGCAAATGTTATTTGACATGGTGAAAAAAAGCAGTGCTCCCAAAACCAAATTCATTAGAGGGTATTAAATTTTTGTAAATGTTGAAAAATAAACAACTTTTGAAGTAAAGCAAATAATTGTGAAAAGTCTAAAAAATATAGAAATAAAAATATAGTTAAGAAAATTTCAATAATTTAATATCATCTCTATTCCTCTAAAGTTTTTCGAAAGTTAAAAAAGAAAAAAAAAACATTTAAAAAAACGTTGGCATCAAGTTCACGTCAACTTAATGCAGAAACAGTCATCAATTCTCTATAACCTCCATTTCACTCAACTTTTATCTCTTTGCCAGTGGAGACTTTTGATAACTGAAAGTGTACACAATTTTAAAATAAAGTCAAAATTTTTAGTTTTCTACAAACTCTCACATTTTCTTTCTAACACTATCTATCCTTTTCTGACTCTTCCTCTTTTTCCATTCATCTAGTTATATTTCTCTCTTTCTTCCTATCTATCTATAGATTTCTTTTATCTATCTCTATGTATTTCTTGCTACTGAACACTCTCTTTCTCCCTCTCTCTATTTACTTTTCTATACATCCCTTTACACTTCTCTCTCTCCATTCCTATCTATTTCTTTCTGCCTCTATCTAGTTATCTATCTCTTTATACCTCTCCTCTCGAGCTTGTCGAATGCCATCAACGACATGACACGTGACAAGATTGATCACATATTATTCTTCTATTTTAGCTTTAAAATTTTTCGCCTACAGTTTGATAGTGATAGTGGTTCGATTCTTAACCCGATCAGCATAAAACATCAACAATTTCAAAATTAAAATTTTCTTGTTGCGGTGATCCCTAAGCAAAGAAAAATAGAATTTCCAAGTTTTGACTTCTGGTTTTAGAATTTCACATTAATTTTGTTTTTAGAAATTTCCTCAACCACTCTCACTCGCCTTTTTTCCTCAGCCCATCCGCTCATTCACTTAAATGACCATCAGGGCGCCTATAGAATTCTCTCAGCTGCTGCCGTCAAGCATTAAAATGGATAATTTCCTTAATGTAGTTTCTTCTTTCGAACAACATGTGCGCAGTCAAATAAAATAATAATACACTCACGCATATAATGAAAAAATAAATTATAAAAAAACGCGCAAAATCATGCTAGAATTGCAATTACGTTTAACTCTCATGCGATAAATTAAATTTCTTTAACAAAGAGTTTGCTTGCTCCCTGCACGCGCGCGCCACTCATACGCGACGAAGTGTTAATTCATTTCAACGCCACCCTCGTCCAACACCACCACTACCACCACCACCATCACCACACTGGCACTTTATTTTCGTAGCTACAGCCGTTTGTGGCTGTCAAATTTAATAAAAATCACTGATTTTGATTGATGTGGCATAACTGAGCAGCGACAGCGACCAGTAGCCAGCAGCCAGCATACAGCATCATCTGTTCGTCCAGTCAAAGTGAATTTATATGTAAATATTATACTTCTACGCATATTTAAGCGCAAGTGACAGTTTGTCACAAGTAATGCATTGTTCTCACACCACGTAAGCGCTTCTTATTTGTATGCGCACTGCGTAGAGCTCTACTGATTGAATATACATATATGAACATATGGCAACCTCTAAGGCGTTAAGGGGTTAAATGCAAACCGACTCGGCTGCTACCTACCTTGCTAATGTCATCAACTAGCTATTCGCTGGCTCATGGTGGCCTCATCGCCCGCTACAAAGTGTTACTTGTCACCCCAAGTGCGTTGGGAAGAAGCGAGGAGTTCCTAATCTCTCACTGCCTCCGGCCTGTTTGCATTGAATTGAAACAAATGAAATGGAAGTAGAAAAAGTCAAATGCAAACAGCTTCTGTTTTCAGTGGCAGCATTTCGATATTTAATAGGTTTTTGTTGATTTAGGATCAATTGTTTGTTGTCATGCGCGTATTGGTGGGGAGGAAAGGACGCACACACTTAACAAAAATTAATTGTTTGCGGTTACTAACGATATATAGAATATATGTACATATATGTGTATAACTATGCTTTTTACATTAACTAATTCTCAATTTCTCTTCTTCTCATTCTTCTCATTGCAGTTATCCTTTGTTTGTCGCAAGCCGCTGATTTGACAACGTGCTGAGCCTGCGGTTTGACGTTAGTACGCATTCTCAAGCGTTCCCTACGAAATCACTACACAAGCGAATCTTTCGCTCTTCAGTCAGCTATAGACTGTCGTGCGCGCAACTGCCGCATTTCACGCGCTGAAGCGCGCTGCAACTCTAACTCACTCTATCCACCTTTTCTGTGGTGCGCAGCGCAAGTAACAGCTGTTGACTTTCACGCGCATAGTTTCTCGACAAAACGCTCGCCCGTGAAAAATAATTATCAAACAAAATATAAACAAATAAAGAGAAGAGAAATACAAGATCAACACACACACACAAGTCATGTCTCGAAAAATTTCACAGAGCAGCCGCGCGACGCGACGGCATCCGCTTGCATTATGCAACTCCGTCTTTGTACTCGCCATCGTGCTCCTGCTACATACACACAATTGTCATGCGGACGGCATGCAACATTTAGCGGATAGCGGCGGCGGCGTTGGCATGGGTCCGCACTCGTTGGATGTCAGTCCTGCGCCTGGTTATGGCCTGCCCGCCATACCAAAAGATCCAAATTCGCGTTGCGAGGAGATTACTATACCCATGTGTCGTGGTATTGGCTATAATATGACTTCCTTTCCGAATGAAATGAATCACGAGACGCAAGACGAAGCGGGCTTGGAGGTACATCAATTTTGGCCACTCGTCGAGATCAAATGTTCGCCGGATTTGAAATTCTTTCTCTGCTCCATGTATACGCCCATCTGTTTGGAGGACTATCACAAGCCGTTGCCCGTTTGTCGTTCGGTTTGTGAGCGTGCACGCGCCGGTTGTGCGCCCATAATGCAACAGTATAGTTTCCAGTGGCCCGAACGCATGGCTTGCGAGCACTTGCCACTGCATGGCGATCCTGAGAATCTCTGCATGGAGCAACCTTCGTATATGGAGTCGGGTAGTGGCGGTTCTGGTCGTGATGGCTCAGCGAGCGGCGGTTCAGGCGGCAGCGGTAGTGGTGGTAGCGGTGGTAGTGGCGGCGGTAAGCGTAAACAGTCTTCATCCGGTGGTTCGGGCTCGCAGAAATGTAAAGGCAAAAATTCAAAAAACTGCCAAAATTCCCTAGGAGAAAGAACAAACGCAAAGGATTGCACGTGCTCGTGTCGCCCGCCACTCCTGCTCCTGGGGAAGGAAGCGCTGATGCAGCCACCACACATGCACTACCCATGGTACATGAATTCAACTGTACAAAGAATCGCCGACGTACAAAATTGCGCAATCCCTTGCAAGGGTCCGTTCTTCACAAACGACGAAAAGGAGTTCGCCGGCATATGGATCGCGCTGTGGTCGGGTCTATGCTTCTGCAGCACGCTGATGACACTAACCACGTTCATCATCGACACCGAAAGATTTAAATATCCCGAACGACCAATCGTCTTTCTCTCCGCTTGCTACTTCATGGTCGCAGTTGGTTATTTGTCGAAGAATTTTTTGCAGAATGAGGAAATCGCTTGCGACGGCCGTTATTTGAAGGAGAGCTCAGCGGGACCGCACTCATGTACATTGGTCTTTCTGTTGACCTACTTTTTTGGTATGGCTTCATCGATATGGTGGGTGGTATTAAGTTTCACTTGGTTCCTCGCCGCCGGTCTTAAATGGGGCAATGAAGCCATCACCAAACACTCGCAGTACTTCCATTTAGCTGCCTGGCTCATACCCACTGTGCAATCAGTAGCCGTACTACTGCTCTCAGCTGTCGATGGTGATCCCATACTCGGCATCTGCTATGTTGGCAATTTGAATCCACAACATTTGAAAACATTCGTGCTGGCACCGCTCTTTGTATACCTCGTCATCGGCACCACATTTTTGATGGCCGGCTTTGTTTCGCTTTTCCGCATACGTTCCGTTATCAAACAACAAGGCGGCGTTGGCGCTGGCGTGAAGGCTGACAAATTGGAAAAACTAATGATACGTATTGGCATCTTTTCCGTCCTCTACACCGTCCCTGCAACCATCGTGATCGGATGCTACCTGTATGAGGCCGCCTACTTTGAAGACTGGATCAAAGCGCTCGCCTGTCCATGTGCACAGTCGAAAGGGCCGGGCCGAAAACCATTATATTCGGTACTTATGCTCAAGTACTTTATGGCATTGGCAGTTGGTATTACATCGGGCGTTTGGATCTGGTCTGGTAAGACGTTGGAAAGTTGGCGTCGCTTTTGGCGTCGACTCTTCGGTGCACCGGATCGCACCGGCGCCAATCAAGCGCTCATTAAACCGCGTCCGCCCATACCACATCCGTATGCGGGCTCCGGCATGGGTATGCCTGTCGGTTCGGCTGCGGGTTCGTTACTTGCTACACCCTATACACAAGCAGGTGGCGCTTCAGTTGCCTCCACCAGTCACCATCATTTGCATCATCATGTTCTTAAACAACCGGCTGCAAGTCACGTATGACATGGAGAGTCAGGTGGAGCTTCAACTATGGGCGGTGTTGGTGGTGGCGGCGGCGGCGGCAGTACAATTGGCGGTGGCAGCGTGCTGGGCGGACACGGTACTCTGATGAGCACAGCGGGTATGAGCAATAGTACGATTGGCGGCGGCGGCGGCGGTGTTGGGGCTCCTCCTGGCAGTATGTTGCACGGTGGCGGTGGCGGTGGCATGGGCATTGGTACGCCCGGTAATATGGGTATGCCAGGCGTTTATGGCAATGGCAACGGCGGCGGCGGTGTAGGTGGTCCAATGGGACCCATGGGTGGTAATGGTGGCGGCGGCGGTGGTGGTGTTGGTGGCAATGGTGCAAGTACGGCGCCCGGTTCGGTGATGGATTCACGCGCGGTGTCCGTGGTCGTTACGTTGCCTGGTGGGCCGGGCGCGCAACACCCCGGGCAGGCGCTGAGCGACTATGGTCCTATATAGTTAATGGTACGACCAGATACAGCGCACTGGGTGTCCACGAGCAGTTTTTCGCAGCTGTAAATGAGTGCAATAGCACGCGTGGTGTGAAAGTGAGAGCGAGCGGGAGAAAGAGAGAGTGAGATACGTTGCGCTCATTTACATTGTTGCGTTATGCGATTTTAAGTTTAGGCACTTTTTCTAGCTTTAAAGCTGTTGGAAAGAGTAAAAGCTTGAAAAGAGAAATTTACGCCATATTAATTTCCGCTAATTTAGAGTTGTAAAAAAAATGTGTTTAATGGCAGAAATGTTACATAAAAAATGTAAGAAAACAATTTAAATGATAAAGGAAAAGTATGTAATAAAGTAATAATTAAGCAAGCTAAACTACATAATTCTAGTCCATTTTCATTGAAAGAAATAAAATAATAAAACAAAAAAAAATAAAAAAATATTTTACTGCATAAAAAATATTTAAAGCGAACAGAGAACAACAAAGCACAATTTCTATTAAAAAAAAATTACTAAACAAATTTGAAAAAATAGTCAATAGCTTATAAACATACATACATACAATTTTTTTTATTATTAAATATTACTAAAATAGTAAAAAATATATTTAAAAGCAAAGCATAGGAAAAAGTCTAGAGATACGAAAAGCACATCTAATGCGCGCATCTACGAAAAAAAAAACTATAAAAAAATATTTAATTTTTTCTACAAAAGCATTTTGTTTTCTTCAAATAATCTCTGCATAATTATTTCACTTTTTCCTTATTCATTTTTCAACTCTCTACTTAAATAGACTGATTTAAAATAATATTTAAAAGTAAAAAAAAATATAACAAAATAAGTATTTTTCAACAAGTAAAACAACAACAAAAATATTACAATGAAATGCGTATGAAAGCAGAAACAGAGGAGAAGATCGGAGAAAAGAATTTTTTCCACTGTTTTTTTAACCACTCTACCACCTCCAAATGCGTCGAAAAAAATTGCCACTGCCAAAAACGCCAACGCCATATTGCATTACAAAAACAAAAACAACAAAAAAAAATTAATATTTACTATTTTTACAATAATTCATAAAACGTTAAGAGAAATGCATGTAAATTTTGCTTGCGAAAAGTTTATCGAATATCAGCTAATGTAAGCAGTTAAAGAGGGGGGGGAGAAGAAGCAGAGCATTTATACGAAAAAAAAAATATCTTAATGAAAGAAAGAAGTTGAAAATTATGACGAAATGTAGAAACCGTTCAAAAAGCATTTGTAAAATATGTTTCATGTTTATTTATAGCAATAAAATATGTATGTATAACTAAACTAACTGTGTGTAGTGTTTGTGAGTTGCTTCACAAAAAAAAAAAAAAAACTAAAAAATACACAAAAAAGAGCAACGTATAATTAATAGCAAAAATGCAGCAAATAAATACAAAATAATTTAAAAAATAATAAAGGAAAAATTTAATAAAAAAACTAATACAAGACTTAAAATAAACAATATATTAAAAAAAAATTTAAGAATAAAAATATAATTGAATTGAAAAAAATCATAACAAACAAAAATACAAAACTATAAATGTATTAAAATTAATTAGAAAAATATTTAAATGAATAAAAAAATATATTTGAAAAATTGAATAAATATTTAAAATATAAATAAAGAATATAAACATAAAATATTGGGCCTTATTGGGAATTTCACGTAAAAAAATTCGTGTGGAAATTTTGATAGCTTACAAAAACAAAATTGACGTAAAACAAAAATAATGTTCGATGTTTTGGTTTTGTTCTCTATCAAAGTTTAAACACGAAATTTTCCACTTGAAATTCCCCATAAGGCCCAATATTTTATATTTGAAATAAAAATTAAAAGTATTTATTGTAAACAAAAGATTATTTAAAATAAAAAAAAATTAATTAAAAATATGTATATATTATATTTGAAATAAATAGAATAATATTAATAAAATATATGAAATAAAAATAAAATATGTATAAACAGCGTAATGAAAATAAAGAAAAAAAAGAATAAAAAAATAAAATATTTGATACAAAAAATATATTAAAAATAAAAAAATTAATTAATAAAAAATAAATTTAAAAAAAAGATAATTAAAATAAATAAAATATGTGTACAGTATTGAAAATAAAGAAGTGTTAAAATAAAAAAAATTATAGATAAATAGATAATTATTTTAAAAAATTAATAAATAAAATTTAAGATATAAAAATTATATGAAAAATAAAAAAATAAATTTATAAAATGGATATTCAAAATAAATAAATAATTCTCTATAAAAAAATACATTTATAAAAAAAAGCACTTTAATTAAAAAAAATACCAAAATTAATTTATAAGGCATTTAAAATAAATAAAATGTTTGAAATGAAAACAAAGTATATATAAAAACAATTAAAAAATATTTAAAATTAATAAAAATATATTTAAAGCAAATAAATATATAAATTAAAAAAAATTTAAATAAATAAATAATGTAAAATAAACTAAAAATAATAAAATACTTGAATTAATAAAAAAAAGTTTATTTCATATAAATGAAATACTTGAAACTAAAATTAAATATATTTAAATTAAACAAAAAAATATTTAAAATCAACAAAATATTTAAATTAATCAAGAAAATATTTAAACTACAAAAGATAATACAATATGAAAATAATAATATTCTAAGGCTGCCATTAAATCATTAAACAAAAACATACATACACATACCCAACTGTAAATACTGAACTCTAATATTAATTTGTATGCAGAATATTTATTATTTAAGTGTTTAATATATGTTATTAAATAAAGAAATGCAATTAAATTTACTTTCAAAAGCAGTAGATGAAGAGTCTTATAAAATCATGCATTTGAAAATTTATTATAATTAAAATAGTGATTTAGACTTTTTTTTCAATGGACAAGCATTTCTTTTATTTTTCAATATTTTTTTTTACTCTTTTAGTTTTTTTTCAATTTTTTTCCCATAAAAATCATTGAGGAAGAAACACTTTTTTATTAATTTGTTAACCACTTACATACATACAAAGATGAAGATTATGTTGCAGAATACTTTTAGTATTTAAAATATTAAAGAATTTCCTACTTATTTTCATAAGTTTATATGTATGTTTAAAATTTATATATATAATAAAAAAATTTAAATTAATTTTCATTTTCATTTCGTTTGTATTAATTATTTTCTGTTATATTTAATTTAATATTTTAATTAAAAAAAATTGTAAAAAGTTGCATGTAGTCACGCATTTTTTAGTTCTTAAGTTACTAGAATTAAATAAGTTACCATATATATGTATGTACATTTTTTATAATTTGTGTGTTATTACATATAAATAAAATTAGCTTACATAAGAGTATGTAAAAGATTATTAAACATATTGCGGAGCAGAAAAAAAATTATTTAAATATAAATTAATTAAATACATTACTATTATTATTTATATAAAAATAGCATAAAGCGAGTAACATGCTCATTCAAATATATTTTTATTTCCAAATGTAATTGTAAGCTCGCTGTGAAAGCTTTAGTAGCAGCTTTCATTATCATAAGCGAACAACTTTCTGCCTGCTTTATACATATGCATACAATACATACATATGTATTTTTTGTTAAGTAAATGAAAGTAAAAAAAACTACAATAATAAAATTGTGTATTTTATTTTATATTTTATTTAAGAATTATTATAATTTAATAATTGATTATTGTTTTTTTTTATTTAAACCTGCTAAATAAAATGCAAAGAAAAAATAATTATTTACAAAAAATTTAAATTTATGTTGTTTTTATTTCATGTTTTGAGTTTCTCTAGCAGTTTTCTTATATTTTCTGTGTTAATTATTACCTAGTTGTATTTTTCCTTTTTCTATAATATTTGAGTTTTTAATAAATTTTAAATAATTTGTACATTCAAATTGATTTTTAATACCTAAAAGTCTGAACTTTCATTATTTATGGATATTTTCACTTACTCCAGTGACTTCAAATTGCTGAAAATGCAGTCAAGCCAAATATCTCTTAAATCAGCTCCTAAATTTAGGCAACGAATTTAGTTAAAACTTTATGTTTGCTGCCTTTCCCTTTCTGTTCGCCTGGTAGAAATCCGGTGGTTTGAAGATTGATTTCCTAGAATTATTTCTACAATGAGCCCCTTAATATAGGCAATGAATTTCGGTATACTTTAACATTCGTTTGCGCATATTGCTTGCTTGCCTTTGCTGTTCGCCTGGTAAATATTTAGTAGTACGTATATTATTTTCTCAAAATTATTTCTGCAATGAGCTCCTTAATGTAGGCAATGAATTTTAGTACAACTGCTCTGCACGTGCGGGTGTGTTTGCTTGGCTGGCTTGCATTTGCTTGGTAGAAATCTGGAAGTTTTCAAAACAAATTTTATTTTAAGTTTTTTTTTCAATTTTTTTTAACTCCCCAAAATTACTGAAAAATAAATCAAGTAAATTATTTTCTAAATAAACTCCTAAATGAAGGCAATGAATTTCTTTGAACTCTTCTAGGTGTTCGTATGTATGTGTACATTGCTGGCATCACTTTCTGTTCGCTTGGTAGCCGTTCCCACTTTCACCGATTTTTCTTTTAATATCAGCTCTTTATTTTTGTAATTTATATTTTTAATAAAATGAAGAAAATCGTTGCGATTTTAATTTAAAAAAATTACTGTTTGTTTATTTATATTAATTGATAAATTGGAAAAAAATTAAATATATTACATATATTTAAAGACCCGCAAAACTGCAGAAAATTCAACCAAACAAAATATTAATTGAATGAGCCCCTAAATATAGGCAATGAATTTCTATGGAAGGCTCCGTTCGTTTGTATGCGAGCATTGGTGGTTGCCCTTTGCTGTTCTGCTGTACACTTACGTTATAAAAGGTCTACTAAAAAAACTTTTTTTTGCAAGAAATTAGAAATTTTATTTCAGTTTATTTATTTTTTGTAATTTTTTTCCGGCGGTACGATATTCAGCAGTTTATTTATTTTAATTTTATATATTTTTTTATTATTTATTATTTATTTAGAAATTTTGAAATTTATTTTTTTAGAGTTATATAAATAAATTAATTTCTAAAATCGATAATTTTTTTTATTATTAGAAACAAAAACAAAACTATACGTATCATACAAAACAGCAGCTCTCCACTTCTTTGGTAAGCTTTAAAGTAAGTTTAAATTATTAATTAGCTAATTCTTATATATCGATCAGCAGAATTAATAAAAATATAAATAAAAATGATAAAAAAAAATAAATATATATAAAAATAGTAGCAGTAGTTGGTGTTGAAAGCAATGTTAATAGGCTTTTATATAATATAATATATCGATACATGTAAATTAGACCCAATAGATACTAACCTGAATGTGCATAGCTGACTTATAAATAAAGTAAAAAGAAAATAATCAATCATTTTTCTTTAATCGAAACGCAGTAAAAGAAACAAGATAAATGTATAGTGGTAGTGTAAAAATATATTGGAATGTAGTTTATTATGGTTTATATGCTAAAACTTTGTTATAATTATTAAAAAAAAATATTTTCGAACAAATTTCTTGAATTAATTTTAATTACTTTCATTTTTTGTTTTTGTTATTATTATTATTACCATATCTCATTTATTCTTAATTATCATTTTTTTTAATTATTTTTAATTCTTATTCTTAGTTTTGGTTCTTATTTTTAAATTTTTTGAATCCTTAATTTTTTTAATTATTTTTGTTTTTAGTTATTAATTTCTTAATATTATTCTTTAAATTATTACTCTTTATATTAATAAATCTATTTTGTTTTTATTTTTTTTTATTGTTAGTTTAATTTAGTTTATTATTACCATTTTAATTAATATTCTTTATTTATTTTTTTTTTAATTATGATTTTTTTATTTTTATTTATCTTTAATTATTATATGTTTCAATTAACTTTTTTAATTACTTTTTTTAATTCTTACTTTTTTAATTATGATTTTCTAATTACTAATCTTTTTAATATTAATTTGTTTAATTAAAATTGTTTTTATATTAATATTTTGTTAATTTCTTTATTAGATATTAGATATTTCTAACATTTATTATTTTTTTACTCAATTATTTTTTTAGTTTATTTATTATAATTTTTTTCAATCATGAATTTATTATTTATTTTTATCTCTAATTATTATTTTTTACTTTTTTATTACAAATTATTATTATTTCTTATTTATCAATTTGGAAATTATAAAGCTCTCAAGCTATACCTTGCTCTGTCATATTTAAAATCAATTGAGTTTCAAGAAAACCTAATTCGTTTCAATACTTTTAATATTTAATATTTTTTTTAACTCTGTGCCAACTATAAGAGTTTAAAAAAACTAATTTTCCCAAGCAAATGAAGTAAAAAGCATCAATTAATAACGGTCGAAAAATGCGCTGGTATTTTTAATTCGGAAGCTTCAAAGCTTCAGCTTGTAATCTTGTATTGAGCTTTCCTTAACTCTTCATATGAGCTTTCACCTAAGAAGCTCGAATATTCTCTTTAAACACCAATCTCAGCTCAGAGAGTTAGTTGAAGTTGGTTTCGTTAGGCTGAACTGATTAAAACCAGAAGTTCTCACACAAACGATACTGCATTTGTGCCACTACATACAACAGAAAAAAAACTTTTCGCAATGCTAAATGGATACTGGTTTCTCTATGGTTACGTTCAGTACTGGTAGAGCTTTCATTTTAGTCAGTTCACCAACTATCTCATTGCATTCGTATTGTATGAAAGTACGGCCAAAGTTGTTGCTAGGTTATTTACAAAAATATATATTCCTTTTTTCGTATATCTGCCGCCATTTTCATAGCAAATATTTGGTTTCAGATAGGAAATCATATTTCTAGAGCTTTCACTTGACTATAGTGATATTTAAAATTAAAGCTGAATTTTTTTTTTAATACAATAAAAGACATTTCTCTCTTGTTTTAGGAAAAAGTTTAATACACTTATTGAAATTTTAATGATTTTTTTTGAATTTTATATTACTATTTATTATTTGTTTAACGTCATAATTTAGAGTCATTTAATAATATTTCAAAATAATTTTAAATAATTCAAATAATTTCTATCCACTACGCCACTATAATGAAAGTTTTGCTAACTTATGAAAGCTAAACAAAATTTCGCTGTAAAAAAAGCTCTAAATCTTACAAAAGCTGCAATTGTATATACATACATAAAATATATGAGTAGACATAATTATTTAAATACGAAAAAAAAGCAAAGTGAAAGTGTAAGCTTTGATAAATCGCAACAAATATACGTAATTGAAAAGACGCTGTTTATGTAAAACGTAACAAACCAAAAACTACTCATAAATAATTTAATAAATAATTAATATTAATTTAAAATATAAAATGTAAGTATTATGTAAGAAATTGAAACAGGAAATTTTTTTGTAATAATACACTTACTCAAAAGAATACGTAATATGCGAATAAGTAAATTTTAAAATATTTATGATATTTTAAAGAAACCTCCAATTTTTTAAATAAAAGAAGAATATTTTGAGAGAATATTTTGAATGTATACAAGTTGGTTAATTATTATAAATAAATGAGAAGAAAATGGTATGAAGCAACTGTAAATGCTTAGTTTAATGCATAACCCATAACTCGCTAAAAAGTTTGAGAGACAATGGACATTGATAATGTGAAATTGTGAAATACTTCTTCTGGGGAAAAATGTTATAAAATGAACTTGAAAAGAGAAAAATTTGGCAATTATACAAGATAAATGATAGAAATGTGTTTATAAACAATTACTTTATGAAAATAACAACTATTTAGTGTAAAAATTTAAATATTTTATTAATAAGTGTAAAGTAGAGAAAAGAGAAAGTAAAGAAATTTAATTATCTGGTTTCGCAGATTTGAAGCATTTATATTCAATTCAAACATGTATACGATTTAGCAATTTTTATTTATGTTTTATAAGCAAAATAACAACAATATATATTAACATATATAAGTATACCTAAAAAGTACGATGAAACTTAAAACAAAAAATGTTAAAAAAAAAAATTAATAAAAATGAAATGAATTATTTGAAATAAATAATAGAAATATAAAAAAAATATTATTAAGTAAAAAAGTAAGTTAAAATTAATGAAATTTTGACAAAAAAATGGTATACAAACAAGTTGTAAGCTTCACACTCCAAGTAAAGCTAAAATATTATGAAGTGGTTCAAAAATCGAAGCGAAAACTGAAAGCAAACAAACAAAAAGATCTGCAGGTATAGACATGATATAAAAAGTGTGGTATAATGTAAGCATAAAGTAGTTGTGAATTGTATTTTGTGAATTTTAATTATAAAAAAAACTGTACGAATAAGTAAAAAAAAAAAAACAAAAAAAAAATAAATAAATTTAAAAAGTAAAATATTATTTAATTTTTTATTTAAAATAAAAGAAAAAAAATAATAAATATATATTTAACTTTTATTTACTCACTTTAAGGCTGCGAAAATGCAGCGCAAATGTCATTTTCTGTTATGGCAACATAAAAATGAAACAACAACAACAAAAACACGTAATAAAAAATTTTGAAATTTATTATTTTACATAATACACAAACACGCTAACTAATAACAAGAAACAAAATAATACTTGAAATCAAAAGTGCATAGTACGAGTAAACAGAAAAATTATATTCAAACAAAAGTTATGATTATAGCAAAACGAAAAAGAAATAAATACAAAAACAAACCCACAAAACCGTTGTAAATGTCAAGCCGATTTTTTAAATAGCATTAAAAAAAAAGAAATAAATAAAATGGCAAACGTGCGCACGCCATTGAAGTAACCAAGTGTGGTAAGCTGCATGAGAGCGCCGAAAAGTAGACTATAAAATGCATGAAAAATGCATCGACGCAAAAATAAGTATGAAGCGCTTGCAAAAATAAAAAAAAATTATAATAATTATTATTACGCAGCGCCAATCATATACATATACATATATTAACATATATATAAGTTTATTTACGGCTATTTATATACATTTATTTACATCGTCTTCAAAGGCTACTTTCAATTTGCCACACTTTATTACTTCAACTGCGCAGCGCGAAAGAAAAAAAAGAAAAGGATACATGTAAACACATAAATTTACATGAATTCATATTAAAATAAATAAAAGACAAACTTAGAAATATAGTATTTAACAATATTATGATTTTTTTTCTTCATTTGTAGTGATATTACAAACAAAAAATTCAACAATCCCCAATACAACTCAAATGACAAAGAAGTATTGTTGTAATTAACAACTTTAATGCAAAATAAAAATTTCAAAAAAAAATATACAAAAAATTTAAATAGTTTTATTGTTCAAAATT